GGGGGGGGGGGGGAGACAAATGCCAGTAATAATATTTCACAATAAAGCATTCTTTACCCTAAAAAGTTAAATTAACTCGTGTTTGATGGGAAAAGGTTTTCCTACTTTACTCTTACATTCTGATTTTACATTTACAGGTCTGTATCTTCTATATAACACTTTTTAAAATCAGCTTAAGAATGACTTAAAAGTGGTGTGTTAATAAGGGATTTGAAGTGGCAATACAAGTATGTGACTTTGAATAATCCCCCTATTTTTTTTTTAAATGGACAATTACCATATGTTATTCACTCTCCATTTTTTTTTTTTACTTACATAGCCATTTGGTTTTTTCTTTTGAAATGCTGTAAAATGATATCTCCTTTGAACCAAATATCTTACATAATTTCTGCTTGACTGTGGGATGAAGATTGTAGACTATACCCTTTTTAAAATTTAAACAACTGCCCAGCTGGAACATTTCTTCTGAAATGTGGAAAGGAGAAACTTTGACAATGCAAAATAGCATTTCTAACAATATATTGGATATGAACCATGCTTTTAAAATACAAATGGAAGTTTCTCTCTCAGATGTATTTTTTCCCTGAATCAGGTCTTTTTGTTTGTTTGAATAAATTCAGAAAATAATGTACTAATGTAACTTAAATATAATATAATGTTATTTATAAATAACTTGTTCCTAGTTGGAGGCCAAGCATGGTGCAGGTCCTTTGGAAGTGCCTCAGGAGCAGACTTGCCTAGTTACCTGGGAACAGTTTGAAGCTGTTGGGCCTGAGGAAGTGGACAGAGTCCTTGGGTTTGTAAATGCAACCACCCGTGTGTTAGATCCATGCCTCTCAAGGCCACCTGGGAGGTGACATGTGGGTGGGTTCAAGTGATGGCTAATTCATCCTTGAGGGAGGGGGTGTTCCTGGCTTCTTTTAAAGAGGCGCTGGTTCACCATCTCCTCAAGAAGCTGTCACTCAACCCCATCATTCTGGACAATTTTCGTCCAGTCTCCTTCTTGGGGAAGGTGGTAGAGAAGGTGGTAGCACTGCTGATCCAGAGGGTCCTGGATGAAACGGATTACCTGGACCCCTTATAGTCGGGTTCCAGACCTGGATATGGGATAGAAATGGCATTGGTCACAGTTTTAGATCTCTGGCAGGACCAGGATGGGGGTAATGCATCTATCCTGGGTCTTCTTGACCTCTCGGCAGCTTTCAGTACCATCAACTGTGGTATCCTTTTGGGTCGGCAGAGGGAGTTGAGGGTGGGGGACACAGTTTTGTGCTGGTTCACCTCCTTCCTCCAAGGCTGGTCCCAATCGGTGTTGATAGGGAGTGAGAGGTCCAGCCTGCGACCCCTGCTTTGTGAAGTGGTACAAGGCTTGGGGCTCCCTCCACTCCTTTTTAACATCTATGTGAAGTTTCTGGGTGAGATCATCTGTCACCACAGGATGAGGTATCATCAGTATGTGTATGATACTCAGTTATACATCTCTATCCTATGTGAATTAAGTGATGCTGTGGATGTCCTCTTGGTCGCTCATGCCCTGATCATCTCCCATATGGACTATTGCATCACGTTCTACATGGGGCTACCCTTGAAAAATATCTGGAAGCTGCAGCTGGTGCAGAATGCAACAGTGTGGGCAGTTACAGGCACCTCTAGAACTGCACATGTAACACCTCTGCTGCATGAGCTGCATTGGGTGCCAGTTTACTTCTGGGTACAATTCAAGGTGTTGGTTATGACCTTTAAAGCCCTTCATGGCATTGGCCCAGGTTACCTGAGGAACTGTCTCATCCCAGTTACATTGGCCCATCCCACCTGGTCCAGCAGGAAAGACATGTTACAGACACTGTTGGCTAAAGAATTTCAACTGGCCTTTTGGAGGAAAGCCTTTTCTGCCGTCACCCCTGCCCTGTGGAATATCTTGCCCCCTGAGGTGAGATTGACCCCCACTCTTCTGGCCTTCCAGAAGAGTGTTAAGACCTGGCTCTGCTAACTAGCCTGGGGATCCAGTGGGGGCTCACAGTATTGGGCATGGCTGGCTTGAAGATGTTCTCTCTGTCTCTTAACTTTGTATATTTTCGTAAGTTTTTTTACTGTTTTTATGGTTTTTATTTGTGAGCTGCCTAGAGTCACTTGTATAGTGAGATGGGTGGCATATACATTTGATAAATAAATAAATAAATTGATTGATTGATTGATTGCAAGATTCTGTCAACTTTTTATCTAGTCTACAATATTGGCACTCTTCTTTCAAAATTCAGTCAGCTAAGGCCCATCAAACCTGCTGCACTGTTTTAAAATCTTTGAAGTTAATTCAATAAGATTCTGTCCCTCTTGCCTAAGTGTGGCTTTGATATATTACCTTCTTCAATTTTCATCTCAACCTCTTTGACTGAATTGCCTGATCTCTTATCTTCTCCTTTGTCTAATAGACGTATTCCTCAACATACTGTCTTCTCTAACAACTATCTTGTCCCACACTGCCATCTGTAGAATTGTGTCTCCATAGCCACCATACTGTTGCTTTCAGATTAATACATACACCATCATTTGTTTTCTGCTTGGTCTGTGGTTTCTAGATAATTGATACAGTGGTTTTCTGAGACCATATTACACTTTGCTGTTCCTACCCGCTCCTTTTAGACTTTGAATCTTCTCTCCCCACATCCTTTTTCCTCTTGACTCTCAATGAAGAATCTGCTTATTTAATTTCTACCCTATGCTATCTATTTCAGGATTAGACTGAAAATACATCTTGGTGTCCTGGTGGTTCTTAAAATGATTTGCTGGTAAGTGGCAAGAATTTCTGACTACTAATTAATGAACAAAAGCAACAATAATACCTCTACCTGCTGTGAATTATTTTGCTGAAATGAAAACAAAAATGATGTGGGGGAAGGAATGTAACCAGAAATGGATATTTGCATGGTAGATTTGTGATTTCTGATATCTGGTACTCAAAAGAAATCCATGTTCTCAGAATTCTTGAACCAGCTGGATCTTTGGATTCTGTAAAAAAAAAAAAAAAAAAAATACAGTAATCCCTTTAAACCTGAAATTTGCCTCTATTCTATTCTGCATCTTCACTCATGGTCTCATGCAGCTGAATCTCTGGAGGAGTTAGAGAGTGTTTGGCTGGATTCACCTCTTACCTGCTCATCTTTTTTGCAAGATAATACTACCAAATCCTGATCCACATAAATCCTGTATTTTCCTCATCTAAACCAGACAACCTTTTTGTTTCTCTTCCCTTGATTTGAACTCTTAGTTGTGAGCAAATTTTTTGCTGGACAAAGTAGGGACTCTTCTTGTATTATTATTTTATACTTTGTTGCAGGTCCTTATGAAATGTGAAAGTCAGGCAGTCACGTGAGTCAAAGTTGGTTATTATGGGAAGGAACATTGTTGATTGGTTGGGATAGACTCTTTATGACTGAGCCTACCAAGACTTTCAAATGTTATCCTGCTTCAATGATAAAATTTGTTTAGGTATTAGAGGACTTAAGAAGGTCCTCAAATTGTATCAGAAGAACATCTAAAAAAAAAACTCTTTGAGATTGCTTCTGTCCCATGGCCATAATCAAGTAATCAGTTCAAGATTTGCAGTCTGTGTATCTATGTAACTTGCAAGGATATAATTTGTTTTCTGAGTTATTCCACATTTTAATACAGCTCACTTTGGGGCCCAATACAGGGACAATATGTAAGCTTAGGCTGATCTATAACTCTTCTTTTCCTGCCTCCTTTGCTCGGCAAAGTTAAACTGAAGTATAACTAAAAGGAGGTCACAGGTGACTGACAAGTTCAAGCTAATTAGCTCAATTATTGAATATGTTCATTACCAAATTATGTTCAATCTGATTCTCCTGCTTCACCAGAAATCATCTGAAGGAGAATATTGAACGCAATTGAACAACTTAAGTTCATTTGAGTATGCCATTATTTACTTATACTAATATTTCTGTGATATATACACTCATTAATGGGTATACCCCTGCTGAATCTCCCTAGCAACATTTAGATAAGTTATTTCCAAAGCAAGTTTATTAGACATTTTATTGAGTAGATTTTTAAAAAAAAACTTGGTTTTCAAATCATGATTTTCTGAATGCGCTCTTTGTATATTTTATTTATATATAGGAGAAGGAGAAGAATAAAGTTTAGTAAGTATAGAAGATGTAATAATTCAATTCATGCAATACTTCCTCTTGTAAGATAGACAAACATTAATTTCCAGATAAAAAGACACAGAATAGTATCTGAATTTTCTTAAATATTTCTAGGCTAGCAATCCAAACAGTAGAGTCCAGAAATTTTATTTCTTTTATTTTTCTAATCTTTGTTGTTCTTGTTGAGTCTTTAAGTGCTATAACTGTGGATAGCTTCTCATATGTCAGTTGCTTTGCTTAAATCTGTTCACTCCTCCCCCACTCAATTTTGCTGCTGTTTTTCCTCCCTCTCTTCCTAGAATGGGCTGCTTAATCATCCTAACCAATTGGAGATCACATAAATAATATTATGGTTCCATTGTTCTACAGAACATAAGTTGCTGTGCCACACACACGAAAAGTCCTCTTAGATCAACTAAAGGATTCACCTTGTGCAAGCCTCTGTTTCAAATGATGAGTGACTTCATTTGGTTTCCATTGACATTTTGACTTAATATATCACCTAAAATAAATCTACAACATTGTTAAGAATGTCTAGTTTCTCCTTAATTTTGTTTTCCACTGTGTGTTTTGCTTAAAGGAAGGAGACATATCCAGCTTCCATGTTCAAAACATTGACCTCTTTGATATGGAATCTTCAACCTTGGTTGAGACAAAAAGGAATAGATTCTGACAGGATTAGGATCTGTAGATCCAAAGTTATCTCAGTTTACAGATATATCTAGGTACGACCCAAGTGAGTGAAGTTCTTTCCCTTTGGATACCATAAGAGGGAAATCAGTCTAAAGCAAGCAAAGAAACCTAGAGAAAGGAACAGAAGAAAATCCTACACCATATTTCCTTCTGCCTTATTGATACCTGAAAGGATTTATTTATAAAACTACAGTCATATGCAAGACTGAATTCCTAACTACAGTCAAACATGTTCATGTATACAGTTTCCTTATTTTTATTTATATCACTGGTACATGTAGGTCAGTACTGTCAGGTCCCAACCAAGCTTATTTAAATATGGTTAATATTGGGTTGCAAGGAAAAAGTTAACTTTTCTGTTTTAGTTTAAACTTCCCTCAACAAGTTGTTGCTTTCCAGCTGCATATTAATATGTGCAGTTTCAATGGATTACTAAGCACCTACTTTCAGAAATCAATAGTGTATGTTCAATAATGTTACCATGTGTCATATGTGCTATTTATCCTAAGCCAGCAACTGAAAATAAATTACTTTAATAAACAATAACAACATAAATATTAATTGCTTCTTTGATCAAAATGAAATTGGTAATGTAAGTGTTCAGTTGTTGCTAAGTGTAATCCTGAAAGACCCAGCTTTCCTAGCCAGTGATGAAGGAGATTGATAGTGGTAGTTCAGAGGCTCCCACTCCTGATCTAGAAAATATGTCCTAGGTATAGACACAAGCCATCTAGAATGTTTATAGGGATTTAAAAGACCATTTTTTTGTGGATTGACTAGTGATACTCAAGCATATTCCTACTAACGTAAACTGTCAGATTTGGTTTGCTTTTTTTTAAGATAAGACAGACATTTAACATTTATCATTCTGGACTAATATTATTTGATTATTCTACATTAATAGTCCACAGTTTACATCCCCCAAATTTATGTGTGTGCATGCGTGTGTGCCTTTGAGTCAGTATTGACTCCTGGTGACTGGACTAGTCCCTGCAGTTTTCTTGGCAAGATTTGGAAGTGGTTTGCCATTGCCTGCTTTTTAGGGCTGAGATAATATGACTGGCCCAAAATCATCTAACTGGCTTCATGCCTAAAGCAGGACTAGAACTCAGTCTTTCAGTTTTCAGCTTGGTATCTTTAACCACTACACCAAATTGGTCCTCCCCAAATATTTTATTTGCTGCTAAATATCTTATTGTATATCCATATAACACAGGGACAAGGTTGATCAAATGGAAGCATATGCAATAAGATTTCCTATTTGTGTTAACCAGATACCATAACATTCCTAAACAAAGGATAAAGCCACATACTTTTCTGAGTGAAATGCCAGATGTGGAAGTTGATTAGCCCAGTCCTGAGCTTGTGGGCTAAGCCACTGTATATTCCTGAATTGAGTTGGGTTCTTAGATTAGCCTGGGTTTGTAACAGTCTTATGTTACTATTGCTAGATTTCTCTTTTCTTACTGTCATGGATACAAAAAAGGCTGGTATCATAGAATATTTAATGTAAATTACTGTTGCTGCTGCTGTAAGAATCACTATATTTTGTAAAAGGAAATGTTGATCATAGATTGTTTATAGGTACATCACATTATATGTACACACTGTTGCATGTACTCAATGTTAAAAAGTTTTTTCTTCAATAGGAAGCTTCATAATATCGTCATGAAGATGCATGAATTCTTATCTCCCTTAAATATGTATTTTTCATATATATATCTTTTAGATATTTGGGACTCCCAAGGTTATTTCTCATGTCTAGATAAACATGTATAGGCTTTGTGTGAACTACTAACACATGTGATCTCCTTAGAAATGACACCATGAGTATTGAATAGTTGTTATATTCACAACAATGTTTTCCATACATATACATCATATTCACATTCATATATTGGGAAACATCTGTATGGCTTATTTAACTAGTATTCACTTAGAAATAAAGAGAATTTCTTCACTCCTCTTGCTTTTCCCCTTGAAATCTAATTCACATAACATTTTTTAAAATTAACCAAAATGATTTTTTTTTCAAACAAATTAGACAATCTTGAGAAGAGTTCAGGATGTATCCAGATAACACAATATCTTGCTTGTAGATCATATCTGCAGATTATGAATGAAGATAAAAGTCTCACACAATATTCCTTGGCACTTATGTATTTACATGTTAGATCTGCACCTGCACAGATTTCTGTGCTTTCAAAATAGGAAAAGAATAAGGGCACAATTTCCACAGTATGTGTAGAGTTTCATTGGCCTCTTTGATTGCATTCAATTTGATGTTGGGTTAAAGTTGTGTGTGTTATATTATCCCTGTACCCCCAAGAAGGTGTCAATGGATACTTCCCTCAATCCTCACCAGGTTTGCTGTCCCACTTGACTTTTAAATAACTTAAGTAAAAACATTATTTCCATCCAATACTGCAAAATAAGAACTAGACATTCCTAGAAAATGAAAATGGTAGATGCTCCCATTCAATACTTTCTTTTGGAAGTGTGTCCACAAAATAAAGGTAAAGGACAGGGGTTAGAAAACGTCCTGGAATGCTAGAGAGATTGATGGAAAATAACTTTATCCATCTGATTTCTGGTAAATAGGTATTTTGAGACTGAGCACACACCTCATGGCAGCCATTTGGTGAAAGCACCCATAAAATGTACCCAAAATCTCAAATCTGCCTACAGAAACAAATGATGTGGTGATCTTTGATATTTGACAAAATATCTATGAGGTCAGTACTGTATTCCTAAATTTCTGAAGTAATGCAAGCCAACTTTGCTTACAATGTATGGTGGGTATGGTCTTGTAACAATGCATGATGCAGCTCAGCTCACATAATGCTACATTTCCCTCTGACATTTGTATTTCAGTTTGGGATTGAAGTTGAACCAATGTTTAACCAAAGTGTTAACCTAGGTAAGAAGTTATTAGAAGTTGGTAATAACTAGGAGGCCTAGGTCTAGTTGTGCATGTCAGAAAATGGATAGTATGCAGTAAAAAGGCACCAAACTGTGTAAACAAACTAGAAATGATTCTGAAATACAGAAAACCCCTCCACTTTAAGGAGGTTCACAATATAAATGTCATGTGGAAAAGAGCAATGGAAACTTCATAAAAGGAAATAAAGTAGGTTCATTTGCACATAAGGAAAGGTCTGTCTTGAAACGGTGGTATATACATTTGTCCATTTATCTTTCAGACCCACTGCTCTTGATTGGAATTCCAAAGCCACTAGAGAGGGCTACAGTTTTGTGGAATTTCTGGATCTCAGTTGTGCTGTCATGGGGTCATTCTTTCTGGTAATAAGGTAGCTAGTAGCCCCTGGGAATGAGGGAAAACAATCGAAAAAAGAAACAGATATTGAACTCTGGAGTAGGTTTTTGGCAGAGAACCAGCTCTTTTCTCATCACATTTGTCATGGCAGAATTGAAAAAAAAAATAGTGGCAATTGTCCAGGCAGTTAAAAGAAAAAGAAAAAAAGACTGCAGCTCAGGAAAGATGACAACAGAAGCAAAAGATCTTGATATTTTGAAATTATATGCTACAGCAATTTGAGATTTTTCAATTTCCAGTGAGAGTTCACATGCTAAAGATGTGGATTCCATTAGGCAGAAATCTGTTGCTCATGATTAGCAAATAAGCAAACTGCAAAACATTCTTTAATGAGAAGTGAAGTCATTTGACTTCAAAACATCTGCCTTCACTGAAGTCCAAAGATTTGATTGCCAAATAAGACAAACCAAATAAGAGTCAGTCTCTTGTAAGCAAAGTTGAATGTTGGAGGCCATACCACCAAAAGAGGGAGGCTTTTCTTAGGGAGTCATTCAGAAAATTTCCTTTCCAAGCAAGGATAAAACGAAAAGTTCTAAGACCCCATCAAGGTTGGTCTTATAAGGCTTGTTTGACCTATTCTGTTATATTATTCCAGTGCATGGAAATTCACAAAGTGGAAAATGTCTGAAATCCAGGGTTGGTTTCCCCCATCCCCCAGAAAAGGTTACCTGAAGGTTGACATTAATTCAGAATGCAAAGCAGTGAGCTGTATCTCTTCATTACGGTATATTTTAAAGTTGCATAATGTAAACTAATCTCACCTAATGCAAACTACAGTTCCAAAGTTCCAAATGACATTTCAGGTTGCCTGATATTATAAGTGATTATGCTATCGAGATCTCTGATCTTCAGCCAGTGACAGCATCTAGGCAGGTTGCTTCATCCATCTTCCTCTCAAGACAGTTTGCAAACATTAATGAAGAGTGCACTGCAATCTGTCTGCTTTTACAATTTCTCTTTTGCAGAAAGAAAGGTGAAAAGTTAGTGAGGAATGGCAGCTGGTTTTAACTAGTTTGTCAGTAAGGGAACCCCCTTAAAATCAATATATCAACTGGATTTTATACCATTTAACATTATTGGCCCCAATAAAGCTAATTAGAAACAGTTCCTTAGAAATCAGTAAAAGAAGGTAATTATAACTAGTTTACTTCCCATTCATTAAGTGAACAGACATGACTAACTGCTAGGCTGGTTTAAGCTCAGGATTGTTGGCAGAGCTTCTCAAGAGTATTTTTTATTGGATAGAGTAAAATAAGCTCTATTTTTATAGAATTGTTTTAAACTGGGATTATTAAGGAAAAGTAGATATACTTTTCCTCAAAAACCTCAAGATTGCCTAACTTGATGCTTCTCATGTTTACACTCATATTAACCCTGTCAGGCTTGAGAAACAAGTATTACTCAGTGAACTTCATGATTAAGTGGTGATTTGAGCCTGGCTTTTCTAACCTTAGTTCAGT